AAATTAAGTGATGTAAAAAAATATCGACAGTTTCTAAAACATTACTGAAACTAGAATTAAAAATACGTATTAAAGTAAGCGGATTTCTTAAAGTAACACAGATACATCTGTTCCACAACAGTTTTTTCACATCCTTCTAACTGTCTGAAACAATCACTTTGAAAACTTACTACACTTGTTTTCTGTAAGAACCTTTACTGTAAAATACAAGTACAGCTTGATTATTTTGCTGAAAAGAAATTTGACATATATTTTTAGTGTTCTGTTTTCCTACAGACAAATGTGTCTCTGGCATATTTTACACATAAGCCAGGCACTGGTATCTAAAATTAGTACAGTGCTCTCTGAAATGTTTGTGTGCTTTTTTAAAAACTGAATCAACATTAAACAGCAAAAGCTTGCAGTGAAATGTCATAGTTTGCATTTGAGAGTAGAAAACCAAATTTTAGACAGAGGGATTTCTCCAGGTTTAAATAAACACATTCACAACCATAGTTTTTAATTAAACTAATTCAGATTTGTGTAATTGAGGAGTAAAGCTCTTGAGTTTGGTCTACAGATTAACACACACACACAAAAACAAACAACAACAACAACAACAGAAAACCCTATGTTTGACTAAATGTAGTGCCTTTTCTTTCCTGTTATAAGAAATGGTATCTGAACAAACCACTCATCTTCACTTCGGTAAAGAGCATGGCAAAACATAATTTACCTTGAGATAGCTGGCCCATGGATCTTCTTTAGTGCCCACCATTGTCACAGAGAAGTATGACATAGCTTATTTTATTCACATTGAACAGATGTTTCTGATACATTGTCAACCTGCTGCAGCTTTGCAAGTCAGCTAACTTTGCAGAAGAGCTTTGCTTTTTTGGATTTCTGTGTCTTTTTCCAGGTAAGCACATTCCTCTTTGCATTTGCACCAAGATAATGAAGACAAAAATGGGCATTGAAGAAGAAAACAAATTTCAGAAATTCTGACTTCAAATAACAAAAGTAGCTGTGGTGAGATGGTGTGCATTGTTATTGGGATGTGCAGTGGCAGCTGAATTTCATGTTGAAGTTTCCCTGGAGATTAGTGCTGAGTTTAAACCTCCAACTATAAAGGCAGCACACCATTATGCAAGTTCTTGTGCCTATTGAGAAATACAAAGCTCCTGTCATGTGGTGACTTGTGGAAGCTGAGAACAGTATTGGAGCTGTTGCAATGGGAACATGACCAGTTAAGGGGTTGTTCTTGCCTCTGAGAAGAATGGAAGATCTTTGCCAAAATAGCTAGAATTTTGCACAAAAGGAGTTCCTCAAAAGCTGCTATTCTTGAAATAATTTGGTAAGTTTCCTTCCAGAAAAGAGAGAGATGAATTAACAGGCAACAGAGGTTGTCATCTTTCAGAGTTTTGATTTCTATGTTATTGAAGAAAGTGCTGTGACTGCTGTGCATAACACAGCTATCTATAGACTGACATTGCTTGGCTTTGTCTGAGACTGAAGGAGGTTCTCTGGCTTTCACTCTTCCTCCTTTCTCTGAAAGGAATGCTTTGTGCAGAAGATACTAGTCCCCGCAGGGGTGTTTTCAAAAGGACAAAGACTGCTGTGGCTGGTGTGACTGCAGTAGACATCAAAAAGGTAGAAGCATTTGATGAAAAAAGATTTCTAGCTATATCTGCCCATTCATTATCTCTAAGCACTTCTACTGGCCCATCATTCACTTGACCAGAACACCTTCACACTGCAATTTGGTGTGTGAACACATTTTGGTGTAAGAAAGGAGCAACAGAAACAGTGCTGTGACAGCACCATCTATGGCCTAAGAGCAACACTGGAAATAAAACTATACTATAAAACTATATTAGCTATATAATAAGGCATATTTAGCTGTCAACAGCCTCTGCAGTGTGGTTGGTGGTCTTCACACTGAAGACAACTCTCAAACAGGAGTTGTTTGCACAGGAGCCTGAAAACAGGAGTCCTACGCCAGCTTCCCATCACAGGTTTTTAAGTGGCACTCTTGTGATGGCCAAGTTGTGATCATTGCCATTCATCTAGTCAGAAGCCACAGAGCAGCTGGGATGAATAAATGTTTTAGGCAGGATGACTAGGTGAGTACTGAAGGCAGAGAGAATTTTCACCAATGTACAGTGATGAAATTAAGGGCAGAGTTGGGAGGAGCAGAACGGAATCTAGCTTTTGAAAAAAAAAAAAAAAAAAAAAAAAAGAAGTGGAGAAAATAGCTGAACAACCTCCAAAAATACCTGGGAAATTGATATATCCACATAGTAGTAATGATTCAGAGCAAACTGAAATTTAATGTGCTGAAGGTGAAAGCACATCTGTTACCTTCAAGTATTTCCAGAAATTCTCTGATGTTATTTGCTCTATAAGGTAGTTAAAGAAATCTGTAATGTGAGCTTAGCTTCACAGTGAGAATGGCATCTGACATTTTTGCGTGTTGTGAACATGCACTATGAGTACTCACAGAAAGAGGCAGCACAGTAGATTCACACTGTGTGATCCCATCACAGCACACACGGTGCATGGTGCAAGACTGTCTGTAATTCTGACTTATCTCCTGTAATTCCAGCTAAACATCTTGCCGGTCTCAAAAAGCAGTCTTTCTCCACAGTTCATTGGAACCTTAAATGTAGCCTTTCAATTTTCAGTTGGTATCAGATACAGTTGCAGAAACAAAAACACAGGACTGAAAAAGTCTCACTGCACAGCACACCAGCAAAGAGCTGTGAAGTAAAAACTTTTCAAATAGCACAGCTCACTATCATCCTCCCATCCCCAAAACCCCACAAGACCCCATAAGTTACGCAAATTATGAAATCATCTCATTTTCATGAATCATTTGCACATAAATTAGCCATGTAGCAAAGTTTCAAGTTGGAAAAATACAAATGTACGTTTTTATTCAGTGTATGTATTTTAAATTCTCCTTACAAATAAGGAAATAGAACATTTTCCTTAGGAAAGGCCAGCTTTTGATAACAATAATAACTGCTGTTTGGCAATTAAAAATACAAGTGGTAAATGTTTAGTTGAACAGAAAGCACAAGGCTAGTGAGGTTTTTGTATGTTTATACACTTAATAGATGCTGTGCAAATGCACACTGATGGAGTTTATGCCATGCTTTTTTCTTCTTTCAAAAAAAAAATTGCTTCTATGGTGGATATATGGTCAGCTTGCTACTAGCTGTAACAAACCACAGAAATTTTGGGCAAAACATAAACTTTCAGAACCATCATAGAGATCTTTTGAAATTTGATAACACATCCTTGCAAAGCAACTATTAGAAATGATGAGCAAGTAATTACTAAAAATCATGATGCCTCCAGTATGTATTTGCAGCATTCCAACTCTGAGGAAATTCTTTCAATGTTTCTTTCACAAAGACCTCATGTTTTCCTGCTCAAAGCGGCATGCCTGCATGCATAAAACCATCCTGACAGCCCTGAGCGCTTGTATACAGCCTTTGACTTAAGTAAGCAGATCAGCTTTAAAATGTCTTGTTTTCTCACAGGTTTTGCAAGGCAAGTTTATTACTGTTGGTGTATTTACACTTCATGACTCCCTCTCTCTCTCTCTCTCTCTCTCTCTCTCTCTCTCTCTGTGCGTGTGTGTGTGCAATGAGAACTTTGAAAAGACATGACAACCTCTTCAGCGTCTCATTGTGTGTTGGCTCTGCAGGCCTTCCTCAGGCCAAAAGCTGTTCCCATGAAAATCTGGTTAAGGAAACACATTTTGTTTGTCCTTGTGTGTTGTGACACATTTTGTGTCTTAAGACATCAAAAAAGGCAGAAACACCTATCATGTGATTTCTGCCTTTTCTCTGTTGTGCAACAGTTCACAAGCTCTGCATTTTACTCCATGTTTGTAAGGGAAAGCAATCTTTACAAGGGAAATGCTGTCTTTACAATAATTTACAGAGGAGCCTCATATAGCTCCTACAGTTATTTTACTTGTACAGGCAAACACCCTGTTAAAAAACAAAGCCTGTCTGCTCCCACACTAAGTTCGCACACAAATGGTTTAATATCTCACTTGTGCTCCAACTCTCAGTGTTTTTCTCTGCTTTTCAGGAGACACTACTAGGTGATATCTCTATGACCACTAGCCATAACGTGGTGAAACACCTGATTCTTACTATATCAGGTCTAGAGGCAAGAAAAAAACAGTTTTCACATATTAAAATGTGGGGGGGGAAAAAAGGACTTTCTTTGAAGTGCTTCTCATACTAGTGTAACTGCAAGTGCTGCCGCACACCTGGACGTGAGCGAGATGCCCCTTACATGTGCCTGGCATCAGATCAGGAACAAAACTGTGCTCTGCAGCAAATGTACAGAAGCCTCCAGCAAGCAGCAGCAGCGCTCCCAGGCTGGAACTGGCTGCAGCAAGGCCGGCACCTGTCTGGAAAGAAACAGAGCAGAAGGAAAGAACCAGTGAAGTCACACGCCCTGGTTTGTGCCCCAGCAGGCCTCTGAGTTTCAAAGGGACAACACGCAAGGCTCCCAGGCTGCCCATCGGCTCGATCTGATCAAGAGCCATCACTGGGGCCGCACTTGTGTTTCTGCGGTTTCAAACAACAGGCCTTTCTTCCTTTCCTTCCAGATTCGTTGCCTTACGCTCTATCAATTATGAGTTTGAACTCCCAGCAGCTTAAATACTCCACCCCTCTCTCTCGCTTGCCAGCCCCTCCGCATCGCAACACAAACACCGCCTAAAATAACAACCGGGGCACTGCGGGGCCCCCAGGGCGAGCAATTGCCACCGAGACGGGCAGCCACCCATCGGTGCCCGGGCGGCCGACAGACCGCTTCGGTGAGCTCCTCACACACCGCTGCGGCCCGACCCCGCCTGACCGCAGCCGACGGCGGCACTCGGAGAGCCAGAGCGCAAACCTCCACCTCAGCCGCGGCCCCGTCCCGAGCGGGCAGGAGGGAGGGGCGAGTCCTGGCACTGCCGCCAATCGGCGCGGTGGGGCGGGCTCGGCCACGGTGGCTATAAAAAGAAGGGGCAGCGGTGCCGCCGCCGGCTGAGCCGAGCCGTGGTTTTTGTTTGTTGCTCCGGTGGCGATCGAGGTGAGCTACGTAAAGACGTTGCAGGCGCTGCCGGGGTTCCGCGGGCCCCCGCTGCTGCAGGCGCTGCCGGCACGTAGGAATGGGGCCGCCGTTCCTGGCGAGGCTCCTGCTAAGCCGCCCTGCCGCCGGCCCCGGTTTTGGGCCGCTCCGCCCGCCCTTGTTTACGGCCGCAGCCGAGGGCTCCGAGGCCTGGCGTGGTGGGGCGGAGGGGCAAGATGGCCTCGAGAGCCGACCATGGCCGCGAGGAGGGTGACTGCAGCCTGGCAGTCCGCTCGGCCTGGGGGGGCCGGGGTGGTGAGGGTTGGGATTCGAAGCTCGAGTAGGGGGTTGGGGGAGGAGCGGAGTGCTTTTTTCTCCGGTCCGAGAGCTCTCTTCGGGATCTGTGCCCATCTTGTTTGTTTGCTCTTGTAAAGGAAGAGGGGAACCGAGTCTTCTGCTGTGAACGGATTTGTTTCAAGCCGGGTATTTCAACGTGGCTGTGAGGCAAACAGGGCTTGTGTGCGTATTGTTTTGCCCGATGGGCGTTGCTCAATTTCCGGCAGATTCGTCAACATGAGCGTGTGTCTGACCATCCTGTCCCTGTGCTTGGGGCTGGCCTTTGCTGCACCGAGACTAGATCCCGATTTGGACAGCCACTGGCAGCTGTGGAAGTCCTGGCACAGTAAAGATTATCATGAGGTGAGTGCCTGTTGGGTGGCCCCTGGGACGTGTGTTCAGCTCAGCAAATGCAAACCGTGCTCGGCTGGGCCCCATTAGCTGAGTCATGATTGCTTTGTTTTAAAGCTGCCCGTGATATGTATTTGTTGAATTAAACCTCTCTTTTCCTGAATCCTTTTGCTTTGTTCATGTAACTGCTCAGTTATGCTTTTCATATAACAGTGGCAAAATGACCATTTATGGAAGCTTTTTTTTTTTTTTAGAGGCGTTCATATTTGCCTGTGTATACAAATTATAACAAAGCATGCTATCACTTGAGTGAGATTTTGAACTTTCTCACTGAAGTGTTGCTTTTCTGGCTTCTCAGAGAGAGGAAAGCTGGAGGAGAGTGGTATGGGAGAAGAATCTGAAAATGATTGAACTGCATAACCTGGATCACTCATTGGGAAAACACAGTTATAAGTTGGGGATGAATCAGTTTGGTGACATGGTATGTACATAAGCATAAAACATTTGTTTCTAAACAGCAGTGTGTAGTATAGTAGATGGTGACTTCATGTCTTCAATTTTCTTTAGACGACGGAGGAGTTCAGACAGCTGATGAATGGCTATATACACAAGAAGTCAGAAAGGAAGTACAGAGGATCCCAGTTTCTTGAGCCCAGTTTCCTTGAAGCACCACGATCTGTAGACTGGAGAGAGAAGGGATATGTAACTCCAGTTAAAGATCAGGTATTCTGTGTTGTTGCATTTTTAACTAGTTTCCTGAATGCTGCCTCCATGTTCACAGAGGAGAGATGCTGTTGAGTTGTTTGATGAACCCTAGTGCAAGCATGCTGAATTAAGTTCCATTTTAGTAAAATTCTGTACCTCAGCAGAATTATCAAGGAGTCCTTCTGTGCTAAGTGTCATAAAACTAAAATAGTGTCTCTACTTGAGCATAGTAGAATCATGATAATGAAGTTGGTCTTGAGGCTTTTGCTTTTCTAATGTTTAGATCAATGGCATGGGAACTGTAATTGCTTAATATGTCCAACATAGCCATTTGTGATTTTGCTTCTTACTTTCAGGGTCAGTGTGGCTCTTGCTGGGCTTTCAGCACAACAGGAGCTCTTGAAGGCCAACACTTCAGAAAAACTGGAAAACTTGTTTCTCTCAGTGAACAGAATCTTGTGGATTGCTCCCGACCAGAAGGAAATCAAGGCTGCAATGGTGGTCTCATGGACCAGGCTTTCCAGTACGTACAAGATAATGGGGGAATCGATTCAGAGGAATCCTACCCATACACTGCAAAGGTAAATGTCATAGCTGAATGTGCTGCAGATACAGCATCTTTCGTATAAACTGTAAGTGTGGGGAAACAAATACCTGGAGAGGATGAAGGCTAAATAGCCATCAGTACATGTGCTTTTCCTCTTGTATTCTTCTAAAGAAGTCTAGAATGGCTGCTTGCCCCAGGTTCTGTAGCAGTTGCATACTGCGCTGATCTTAGGGGATCAAAATCATAGAAATCATAGAATCATAGAATTGCTCAGGTAGGAAAAGACCTTAAAGATCATCAACTCTATCCAGACCATCTGGAAAAACTAGAGCAAATCTTGTTATTGCTTCCCCCTATCAGATGCCAGACCTTGTCTTTGATGACACACCAAACCAAGACTTGGTTCTTGTCAAACTGCTGCTTAGTCCTAAGGTTTCAATTGTGCTTTTCATAACTAAACTATTATAGGTTGTTTCCCACAGACCAAATAACTCTTGCAGCAAACATGGATTTTCTTAGATCTGACTATGCCTTATTCTGCTTTTGGGCTGAATCTGCATAAATGCAGGTAATGAGCAGATTTCTAGAATACCTCTAAAAATCTATCAAAAGTTAAACAGGCATGAGAGGACAAAAGGGTGGTAATAAATGGTGGTGTTGCATTATTCTTAATGTTTGGGCTTTTACTACTTTCAGTGCTGCTGCTCTCCAGAGAATTTCCTTGCAGTTTGTCTTCTGTTGACTGAATGTGCAGTAGCAGTGACATTCACTGTGAATAATTTTGAAGGATTTGGGTTCCTATCTGCCTGTATCCTATAAATTTTTTTTAAACTTGGCTCTTCCAGCAACTCTGGTTGTTTATAGGAAGTACAAACTTGCTGATTATGAGAAGTAAACAGCTGAGGCATGTGGCCTATGTTCTTTTAGTTGGAAAGGCAACTGAAGTTCTAGTTTCATCACACAGATGAAGCAGGGACATGCGTACTTTTTTTATATCAAATTGCTAGATGTCCCAACTTGACCCCTTTCCTGAAACAAATGCCTGTGACACAGTTCAGATTTCACTGTGTGAAGAAAAAAAAAAAAAAAAAGCCCAAAATACAGGAATACTGTAAACTCATACATTAAAAATGAGTCATTTCTAAGTCATTCTTCATGGTTTTCCAGACTGACAGACTGTGGATTTAAGTGCTTGCTCAATTAGCAGTTCCTGGACTGCTTTGTAATTAATGAATACTTGGCTCTCTTTCTTTGCCTATTAATGCATTCTGGACATTGTTTTCTCAGAAATGAAATTCGTCTTTCCTACTAGAGACTGCAGTGTTCCTAGATGTGAAGGTCTTCTGCATCCCAGTAAACCTTTCACTGTGGGCTTCTCAACCTTGGGGTTTTTTTTCCTTTTTCTGCGTCTCTAAATAACTCAAAAGCAGTTTCTTTAGTTTTGAGAATGCTTTGAAAGAAGACCAGGCGCAACTGGGTCCTTCTCAGTGTCTTGCTTTCAATGCAGTGAACTTGTAGTATGTCTGGTAGTTCTTATGCTCACTTGTGTGTAAAGTAGAGAACTATGTAGTAACTAATAGTTTTCTTATTTCTTTTAATTCAGGATGATGAAGACTGTCGCTACAAGGCAGAGTACAATGCTGCTAATGATACTGGCTTTGTTGACATCCCTCAAGGACATGAAAGAGCTCTCATGAAAGCAGTAGCAGCTGTGGGTCCAGTATCTGTTGCTATTGATGCTGGACACTCTTCATTCCAGTTTTATCAGTCAGGTGGGGATTTGTTAGTAACTTGCCTGAGGAACTTCTTGGATGCTCAGTAATCACTCACTCTCCAGTTTAAGAGCAAAAAAGTCTGAGTTTGTGAAGTAGGACATATAAGTCCTCTTAATTCTAGTCCAGATTCCCACACTCTGTATATGCTTATGCTTGCTGCTTACTTTCTCCCATAGATGCATTTTGCTTCCCTCACTGCACAGCTTCTCTAGCTAATCAACACAATTTTGAACACAAGGATTCTAGTAGATCAGTTTGTTCATGTGCAATTTTATGCTCCCTCAGGTATCTATTATGAACCAGACTGTAGCAGTGAAGACTTGGACCATGGTGTTCTGGTTGTAGGTTATGGTTTTGAAGGTGAAGATGTAGATGGAAAGAAATACTGGATTGTTAAGAACAGGTAAAACTTTTCTATGTGTCATACTCTTTGTGGGAGGAGGGAGGGTAGTTTGTCTTTTGGCATAGGGAGGTATGAAGAGGCAACAGAAATTAAAATGTACATACGGAAAATGTGGAGACTGTTCGTGAGGTATTGGGTAGAAGTTAAAAGTCAGCTTAGGATGCTGACCTGCTAGTAAGGTAGGCTTTGAGCAGCAATTGCATTCCTCTGCGTCTTTCAGCTGATTTGAGGGATCAAGGAAGCTTGGTGGAAGATTAGCCCATGAGAAGGGTAGATGCACTGAAGTGATAGTGCATAGGAGAGCAGAAGGAAAAACAGGTTGTGGCAATGGGGGACCATGAATTTTCAGAAGCAGTGGGGCTATTCACTGTATGAAATAACATTTGAATTTTCAGAATGTAGTTACCCTGCTGGGCTGGGAGGGAAAAAAAAAGAATGCCAAAGGGCATATCACATGAGTTAGTCTCATGCTATCAGCACTAATGGGACACCACCCTCATGCTGCCTGCAGTCTTGTGTCCTCTGTTAAAATTGGCTGGGAGCATTGCCTGAGCTCCAGTAGTCCAAAATTGTTCTTGTGTGAGGCAGGGACCTCCATGTACAGCTGCACTACCTTTTCTGGTTTTTTTTGGTGGTTTTTTTTTTTTTGTCCTTCTGCTATGTACATCTGTTTAAAATTTCCTGTGAATATGGAAGGCAGTTCTCAGTTCAAACACTTCATGAAAGAATAGTAAGGAAGTCTTTTGGAGTATGAAAATAAACCTTTTATTTCTGATTACAGCTGGGGTGAGAAGTGGGGTGACAAAGGATATATCTACATGGCCAAAGACAGGAAGAACCACTGTGGAATCGCAACAGCTGCTAGTTATCCACTTGTATAATTTGAAGACTGGACATTTCAGTGCAAAAGGGGATAATAAACTGAATGACCAAACAGTCACACAGGTGGTAGACTTGTATTCTTCAAAAGTCAACTTGATTTTTTTAAAGACTCTTGAAGTCTGTTTTACATGTTGGTGACATGCCACTTATTTTAAATTAATGTAAATGTTGGTATGTAAACAGCTTGTAATATTGCTGGCTTTTAACTGCTTAATCTAATAGATTCTTCTATGTATTTTTTCCTTTTTTAATTAGAAATAGGCCTGAAGGTTTACTTTTTAAATAAACACTTAATTTAGTGTGTACAGATAACTGGCTTTTGGTCTTTCTTTCTACATGGAGCTCACCATTTAGGTATCCTGCACAGGACTGCTAATGAAAGTCTGTTGTATCAATTACATAAATGCAGCTTGAGAATGATGAACAGCTTTTATAAACTGGAGTGTAGTATTTGATACAGCTTTAAGGGAAAGAAGAAAAATGTCTTCACTGGAAAAAGCAGAGATGACTGAAATTGGATGCTCATTCTTTGAAACTTCTTGTTAATCTAGAATATTGTTATAAGAGAATGTTGGCTCTGTCCCATTGACCCAGAGGCAGTATTACGGCTCTATCTTTTATAACAAAGTATTTTTATGCCCTATGTTCAGCCTCTGATTATTTCTTATCCAGAATACCATATTTCTGACCCCAGACTTTCCTCTTCCTACCTCATATGAGCTTATTACAGCTTGGTCTCCTTGTGATCATGATAGGGCAAACCAAGAAGATCCAAAGCAAGAATTCAGTGAGAAAGCTTGATGATAGGTTGTGGCAAGTTCACTATTTCCCCTTCTGCCCCAGCTCTAGTTAGGGAAAAAAGGGGTGGGGGGAAGGATTCTTCCTGTAGAAACTAGTTATGCCCTAGTTAGTTTCTCCTGCTTACCCCCTAGATGTTCTTGATTCCTGACTGCACTGCAGTGACTTGTACTACAACCTGAGAGAACTGTCCTGTGTAGATCTCTGATACTGAAACATTGCTACTAGCTGTTCTATACTGCTGATTAGATGTCTTTGGGGTACCTATAGTTCCTGTACTCAGTGGAACTGGCATAAACACCTACTGGGGGAAGGCTTACCTTGTATTTAATGTGTTGACTCACATTTTTGTACTTTGGTTAAAGCGGAAGGGAGCTAGTGTAGGTTCAGGTTTGATAAAGCCAAAAGTTTTTATGTACCCAGTCATATACTCAAGGGAACACCTGAAGTTATGGAAGCAGAATTTCCCTATTGTGGATGAAGTAAGTTTTAAGGTAGCAGTTTCTCCTTCTCGGGGGGGAGTAGGGGGAGGGGAAAGCTGAATTCAGAAATATAGAATAGCTAAAACTTAACTGCTTAAGTTTGAAGTTAAATTAATTCATTAATTAAACTTAATCAACTGTGTGTCCATGTGCTGATTACAGATGAATTCTTTCAACTTGAATCTCCTTGCATACATTTTTTTCTAAAGGAAGAGCCTCCTTCAGTGGCTACTTAATAAGCGCCAGCCAGAAGTGCTGGTTGGAATTGAGCTATTATGCTGACTTGTTAAACCTGTTATGGAGAACATCCACACTGCTTGGTGGAAGTATGTAGGAAACAAAAGGGAAGGAAAGCAACTTGGTCGTACCCATTAGGATTGTGCTGGGAAGAAAATGTTAGTAGTTTACATTCAAGATGCCAGGAAACTGGCTGCATAAGCTCCATATGCCTTAGCTGATTTTCATTCTTTCATCCCTAGCACTGGGAGTGGACAGAAAACTGTCTCTCTCAACACTTCATTGCTGGACATAAAGTATTACTAATTTTCTACCTTTCTTCAGGTAACATAAAATACCAAGTGCAGTGTGAGCTCAACTCAAATCCTGCTAATCCTTGAGCTGCAAAAGAAAAAAAAAGCAGTAGATGAAAGGTATTTGGTTATAAAAGCCAAGGTTACTAAATCTGCCGGGAAATCAAGATATTGTTTATGAACACAAAGGAAAAGAAGAGGAAATAACTTTCTGAAGCCATATGCATGTAAATGGGAATGTAGCTCACAAAAGAGGCACCAGCCTATGACTTAAAGCCAACATGATAAAAAAGCTATTTGAATGCACTAAAACTTGCTGACTATTCTGGCTGAACATCCTCCCTTCTGAATGGAATTATCGAGAAGCTGACAGGGTAAAATGGGTCATGCAGATTACTGGATATCTGGTCATGCAGATACAGATTTACATAGACATCTTAAGTAAAAGCTTCAGCCTAAGTTTCCTTACGTGATACTGTAAGCCATAAAATTTGTGTATGCTGCATGTAAGCCCAGTGGTAGAAATTTAAACCTGTTGCACTTCAAGAATTGTTTTAAATCTGTTTTTTCTATTCCACTGTATTCGCCTTATTTCTGACGAATTGTATTGTTTACTGTAGAAGTACTATTATGAAGCAGCAAGTGAGCATATGTCCTGTGGGGGAAAGTGGTGTATCCCCATAGTGTTTCTGCTTTCCTAAGACAAAGCAAACGTTATATATGCACAAATAAAGCTCCTGAGTTGTCTCCAGAGAAGCTATGGGCTATTAAAGCTCTATGTTCCTACATATTGGTTCCCAAAATTTTTGAAGACTTTTTTTTTAATAATATTTCTGTTGATAACAAGAGTTGCATTTTTCCACAAGGTGTATTACTTTAAAAGATCCTAGTGCACTTCTTGCCATTGTCCTGACTAGACTGTCCTGTTTAGGTCCTGTCTGCACTGGAGCTACTGATGCTGTTAATGGAGTCTTACATCATGCATATGTAAATACATGATTTGAGTACTATGCTACATGCTTGGTAGATGACAGTTCTGTACAATGATTAAACTGCCATCGTTGCTTGCCTTCATCTTCATTGTGAAAATGAACTGTTCCAATTATATTTGGGAAGAAAAGAAATTTTGCACTTGGGTTTCTGCGTGTTGGTGCTTCTTCGATCAGGTTTGTCCTAGAGGTCTCAAAAGAACAACAATTTCTCCAGTTTGTCTGGTGAATGACTGTATGTCTTTGTGGATGGTTATAGGATTCTAAACAGAAGTATTTGTAAGGCAAGGAAAGCCAGGAAAAGAAATTATTCCTCTTGCACATGAAGCAGTCATTCTTTTAATTTCAATGAGAAATTGATTCAACCATCATGTAAAAATGTATTCCTTTTCTCTTAAACAGCAGTTATTTCCTCATTCTATCAGTAAACGTTAAGCAAAATTGAACTTCATTCCACTTTAACTGCTGATGTTTAATCTATTTCTGAAAATTTACAGTGGTATTAAGTAAGCCTACTACGCCCCTAACAAATCTATGCAGGAAAGAAAATTTCAAAGTGTTTTTAAGAACAACCATGACAAAATAATTTTCATTCCACTCTGTCAAAGCTTGAAATCATTACTGACATTTCAGGTAAGTGCAGGGACACCTAGAGCACATGGATAAAAGGATACAACCAGACACAAAATTCCCTCCAGAAAAATCCCATTCACAAAAACGAACCTTGATGACATTTTGAAAGGTTTCTCTGCATGTAGACTGTGAGCTTCGAGGAGGGTGAGGGTTGTCTATTTGCTAAAGATCCATGGATGGGTTAATTTTCTTATTTTAGGGGCCCCAGAGGATGAATCTTCAGTTGTGTTTACAGGGAACTTGACTGTGCTTCATTTCTTTTCTCATCACACTAGTTTGCATAAATATTCATTTTCAAATTTCCAACTGTCTTGAAAATTTATTTCTGCAGTTCTACTTATTTACATTACACATCTGTTGAAGAGTTGCTACCAATTTTAGTGAGTCAAGGGCCAAAAACAAACAAGAAGACAGGCATTTAAATATACATAAAAAACTGGCTTATTTTTAAAATGCTGTTGTTTTGTTTATTAATCTGTGGTTCTCAAATTCTCCAGGAGACCCCAAAGCTACTTCTCAGTGCAACCTGGTAGTCTCTCTCGATAAAGTTGTGCTGAAAGCAGATGTCTAGCAATATCAGCACGCATTTTTAGATGTGGTACCATAGCTCTGGTTCCTGCCCCTCACATCTCTCTCAGAGTAAGAGAGCAAGAAGCATACCAGTGTTTAATGATCACTGTGAAATGTTATTTCAATTGCAGTATTGTGTGCATTCAAGAAATTTTATAGTCCCATTTATTAGGTGCTCTGTAAATCCAAAAGCAAGGAAACCCCTCTTCTCCCCAGGCTTTTAATCTGAACTAACATGCAGCTGAAAGATGGGAAAGGAAAAAGCCAAAAGCAATGAATCTGCTTGCCCGAGGTTGTGCAGTTGATTAGCAGCTGCTGGTGAGTCTGAGAGAATGCTGCCTTTGCTTTTTTTCGTTGCAACTTCAGTAGAGCCAAAAGGTAAGCATATAGCTTGTCTTTCACTAACTTTAAATCCCAGGCCTACTTTTGTCTGCCTGGCCCTTTCTCCTTCACCTATCTCCCCTGATTTCTTTTCTTTGAGCAGTCAGTCTTCTTTTTATCTCCCTATGTTAGAAAGACAAATCATGCTATTTTGTTAAAAGAGGGAGAAAATTGTCCATGCAGGAACAAAACAGGAAGTGAGGTTACCAGAAAGGTGAAGCGCAATGCGTCACCTGGCAGGCGCCGGCCAGCCTGTACCAAGTGACGCGTCTGGGGCACGTGGCAGTGACTGCTATTGCTGGGTGTGGGGAGAAACTGGCTTCCTCCTTCCCGTGCATTTGCTGACAGTGCGTTGTAATGCAAGTGAGAAACATTAGGGTGTAGCGAGCAGTAGTGCCTGGGCTCTGCCTCGGCTTAATTCACAGCTCTGCAAGTGCACCCATTGAACGTCCTCATTTGACAGTCATGGTCAGAACCAGAAAAGCTGCCACCAGAGACCCACTTGGCTTCTGATGAACAGGATCCTGCAAACCCATGATGCGAATTGCTGAGCTGAGGGGGAGCAACTCCGCAGAACGGATCCCAGCATGAATACCTATCTATTATGCTCCATCAAGTGTTAAAATCAGCTCAGTGAAGTCATGCATGATCCAAATACAAGCTTGGTTTAGATTG